ATTGGACAATTAACTCAAAGGCTGTTTCATCAGTAGCTGTGGGCAGTTCCTTTGTTATGTCATAATCAATTTTAGCAGATAAAAGACCTGGACTTTATTTAAGGTGTGGTTCTTGCATTTGGAAGATTTTGCTGTGAACAGACAACATGCAGTCAAAGGAGCTCTCCGTGCAGGTGAAACAAGCTATCCTTAAGCTGTTAAAGCAGAAAAAAGCCTTTCCGAAGAAGTGCTACGATATTAGGAGTGGCAAAGTCTACAGTTTGGTCCATCCAAAGAAAGAAAGAAAGAAAGAAAGAAAGCACTGGTGAACTCAGCTATGCAAAAAGACCTGGACGTCCATGAAGACAGCTTTGGTGGATGATCGTAGAATCATTTGCATGGTGAAGAGAAACAGCTTCACAACAGCCAACCAAGTGAACAACACTGCGTGAAAGACTAAAGTAAATACAGAGGGTTCAATGCAAGGTGCAAGTCACTCATAAGCCCCAAGAATAGAAAGGCTAGATTGGACTCTGCTTAAAAAATATCTAAGAAAGCCAGCACAGTTCTGGAAAAAACATTCTTTGGACAGATGAAACCAAGATCAACATCTATCAGAATGATGCCAAGAAAAAAATATGGAGAAGGCGTGGAACGGCTCATGATCCAAAGCATAGCACATCATCTGCAAAACATGGCAGAGGGAGTATGATGGCTTGGGCCAGTGGCACTGGGCACTAGTATTTATTGATGATGTGGATGAAGTGGAATAGTCTTGAATGGCCAAGTCAGTTACCTGATCTTAACCCAACTGAGCATGCATTTCACTGTTGAAGACTAAACTTTGGACAGAAGGGTCCACAAGCAAACAGCAACTGAAAGACTGCTCTGCAGTAAAGGCTGGGCAGAGCATTAAAAAGGAGGAAACCTGGTGATGTCCATGATTTCAAACCTTCAGACTGTCCTTGCCATCAAGGGGTTTTCAACCAGGTATTAGAAATGAACATCTTATTTTCAGTTGTTTAATTTGTCCAATTACTTTTGACCCACTGATATGAAGAGATTATGTTAAAAGAAATGCTTTAGATCCTCACATTTTTATGCAATTGTTCAACCCACTGAATTAAAGTTGAAATTATGCACTTCAACTGCATCTGAGTTGCTTCAGTTAAAATGTTGTGTGTGGTAATGTACAGAAACAAAGACAAAAGTTGTCTCTGTCCAAATATTTATGGACCTAACTGTATGTCCTGAAGCTATGCAAAAGAGCATCTCTGAAAGCACAATGTGTCGAACTTTGAAGCAGGAGACCACACTCCAGGAGAAGCTACATTTCACACGGACTCACCAAAACCTGACAATAGAATAGAGTAGAATTGGTAAAATGTTGCCTGGTCTGAAGAGTCTTGATTTCTTCTGATGGTCGTGTCAGAATTTTGTGTATATAATATGAAAGCATGGAGCATGGTGATGTACTAGTTTGGGGGATATTTTCATCACGCATTTTGGACCATTTAGTACCAGTTGAGCATGATTTAAACACCACAGCCTATATCTGAGTATTGTTGCTTAGCATCTCGATCTTTATGACTGACCACAGTGGCTGCTTCCATCAGGACAACACACCATGTCACAAACTGGTCAAACTGGTTTCTTGATCCCAACAATGAGTCCACTATACTTAAATGACCTCCACAGTCACAGATCTCAACCTAATAAAGCACTTTTGGGATGTGGTGGAACACAGCTGACATGTGCAGTTAATGCATTTGCTGTAAGCACTGCAGGATACCAGTTCTAAATTCTCCTAAAATCTGAGGTGTTTGGTACGTATCACTGAATAAAGTAATATAAAGAATGCAGTGCTCACTGCAGAGTCAATGATAAGAGGTGGGATGTGGAAACAAGAGCGTTCAGGGAAGTGAGACGATAAAGACGTCGAGAATAGGAATTTGAAAGAGAACAAAACGCTGGGCTGTCAAAAGTCTACAGCACTCTACTTTTATAATTGGTCCCTCGACCAGCATGGCAGTGCTTAGGCGCTCAAGGTTTCCATGCTTGACTTTAATAATAAGCCCCTCTCTATTAATTTGCCTATGAGGCAAAAGTGTAGCACAACGACTGTCAGGATTTTTCACTGTAACAAGGACCATATGGATTTATAGAAGAATAATGGATATTTAATGTGTTTTCATATCGTGGGTCACTCACCAGGTCAAGTGACCCCCATGGTGCAGCAGAAGACTGATGGTACTGATGGCAATGATGACCAGGAATATCTTCTTCTTCCACATCTGTGGGAGGCAGAGGGAAAAAGACACAGCGAGTGAGAACTTAAGCAAAAACAGAGAGCAGGAGGGTGGCGGGAACGAGAGCAGATGGAGGTGTAATGAGAAAGCAAATATGAGGATCAGGTTCGAGGGAGAGCGACGGAGAAAATGGGCAACGCGAAATTGGGGGACAAGAAAAGAAGAGGAGGTTAAGAGACTGAAATGATGAAAGGAAGCAGTAATGAAAAGCGAAAGGAGAGAAAGGAAAGGGAATCGAGAAAGCGAATGAGAGCAAGAGACGGACACGACGCAGGATGATTTATTCAATAACTGCTGGGATCCATTAGCAGGAGAGGGGGATGCGTCTTGGCTTTAGTCACTCACTAATAACACAGTGAACGATACCTTCATTACCTTCCACAGCTGTAACAGTCACATTTA